TTTGTTTTCTTTGATTCCAGGTGGGGTGTACCATTTCTTGGCAATCTCTGCCACCCTTTCTTCTCTTCTTCCCTTCATCCCAGGGTGATGCTCAGGGAAAAGATTCCTGAGTTGCATAAAGGGAGGCCTGGGCAAGAGAAGGAGAGAAGCTGGGGACCTACTCTGGGAGTAGCATAAAGACTTTACCACACCTCCTAAACCTCTCCTGCTGGCTGGAGAGAATCTTTGCAGCCAGCTGGTGGATTTTCCTCTGCGGAAGGCTGGGAGGATCCCCTGGGGAGAAAGAGGGCAGCTGTTCCCGTCCACCCTCATGCTTTGTGGATCGGAGAAAGCACAAACGTGAGCTGGGGCTGTTCAGTGCGTGTGTGAGTCAGCGGGCACAAGCCAGTGTGAGTGGCCATGTGTGCAGATGTGTGTCACGCCATTGTTTGGGATGTGTGAATGTGCAAAAGTATCTCAATATGTGTTTAATTTTTGTATACCTCTGTATTTAAGAAGTAGTTGGGGGCAGGTAACACCTTTGCTTTGAAGGTATTCTCCCCCAACACAGCCTCCTCCCACAGACCCAACACACTCTTCCTGGGCCAGCTCCTGGACTGATGCTCTAACAGTCCTTGAGCAGGGAGATAGAAGTGGAGGAGAAAACTGTTTTCTTTCTTTCTTTCTTTCTTTTTTTTTTCTTTTTTTTTTTTTTTTAAGCTACTTTTTCACCCATTGCCCCACAACGCTATGCTGGCTTGGCCTGCAGAGCCTGAAGCATCTTTCCTACAATACATTTAGCAAGGCAGGGATAAGCTGCAGAAGGCTTAATCAGATGGTGGGAGTGTATGTTTACAAGTGCATGGTTTCCTGGGTGCATGACTGCTAACATGCATGGTTTGGGGATGCACATAGGCATTTGTTACCAGAATTGGGTAAGGGGGAAAGGGGACATTGTTGGGGCTTGGGTGAGTGGATTTCCACAGAGGTCAGAACACGGTGGAATTTGGAAGCTATGGTCTCCATCTAGGCATGGACTATATTTCAGGTAATGCCTTGGCTCCACAGACCAGCGTTACACATGCAGGATGGCTGCATGCTGGCCTTGGCTGTGTGTAGTTGTGTAGACTATACCTGTTACAGGGTTGCTGCGTGCAGCAGGGGTAGGATACGCATGCTGGCTATTCTTTCTTGCCATGGCATAAATGGGAGGGGAGAGGAGAAAGGCTGAGTTGGCCAATGGGTGTTGTGGGCAGATACAAAACATGTCAAGGCATGTGACCCATCTGTYTGCTCTTGGGTTGTGAGGGACCTCGTGGAGAGAGAGATGATGAACAGGAATCCCCTGGGGCCAAGAGGTTGTTTTAGGATGACCAGACAACACAGAGAGGATGGGCAGCCCATACTTGCAGCCCGGGACGCATGGACAAGATCATGCAGAGGAGAGAGGAATGGAGAGATGAAMCTGGCTGCAGCTGCTTGTGGTTGCCTCCTCATAGCTTGCCACTGATGGGTGGTCAGGATCTGGCTTGTCCATGCCTCAGAATGAAYTGGTTCATTGAGGAAGCAAATCAATGCTTCCCCCTTACCTCCCTTCCTTAGCAGATGGCTTGACAGGGTGCCTAGAGTCCAGATCATGGYGAGCAGAGGATGAAAAACACAATGAGCTTGCTCTGTTAGCTTTACAGCAGAAAGRGTGGGTCATTTCCAAGCAGAGGCATGAGAATCGCATGGAGGAGGAGGAGAATATTTGCCATAAGGAAGAGCAACTCTGATATCAGGCCAGTTGTGCTGAAGCAGGAGGATTCCCATTGCTGTTAACTCCCTCTGTCAAGGCTCCATGTTCTTGTGTTGTCCAGCCTGTTCTCTCTCTTGTACCTCATCCTCATTTCTGTATCTTTCTCTCTCTCTCTCTCCTATTCCCCTCTCCAAGAGAAGTGAAAAACAACAACAAAAAAAGATCTATATCTCTATCCTCTGTCTCCATCTTAATTAGGGAATCAACACGAACATAATTTCTGCTCAAACTGATACCAAGTTCATTTTAGCACCTTAAACATCTCACATGCAACAGGAGCTGATTAAAAACGCTGAGGGAGCTTTTTTCTTTCTTTTCTGCATTTATTTTTTTCTGATTGCTGTCGCCACTTCTGCTGCATGCCCTCCAAAGGCAGAAAAGCCCCCTTGGGAAGTGAGCAGGGGGTCCAGGAGCCAGAATGTCCTTTCCCTAAAAGGAAGCAGTGGCTTCTCTGAGTCCAGACTTGCTCACTTGATAGGAAGGTGCCTAGTCAGAGTCATGGAGGCTTTGTACCAGCTTGCTACATATAGAGAGAATATGGAGAAAACAGGACCTAGCTGAGCAATGAAATGCCTGTAGTAAGAGAGACATGAGCAGGATGTCGAGGCTGCTGCTGAAGGGAAATGTGATTTTTCTAGGGGAGGCTGTGAGAGAGCCCCATGTGTTAGCACAAGGGATTCAATAGAAGGTACTTGAGAAGTATAGACTGAATATGACATTGTTCATTTCTACTGTTGGAAGAGAGCATGAGACCTGCATTCAGACCATTGGCTTATGACAGTCACACCACAGCAAGTCCAGGACTAGGCCTTGCTGCAGATAGGAAGGAGAAATCGGTGTCTTTAGGAGCACCACAGACCCATGGAGCAGAGGCTGAGATGCCTGTGTGCTAGGGCTGCATCTTAAAATCTCATCAAGGAAGCTGCTACGTGCCTGGGAGCAGCCTCTCCCTTGACACCAGCCCTTCCAAAGCATGAGCTTCCTTGGGTATTTTTAGTGTGCTACAAGTCATGTTTTCAGCACTGGACTTGCCTCCTAAGAGTTTCAGTTGAGCCCACGGCTGCAATATGTGGATCTCTTCTTCCCAAAGCACAGCTTGATCCCTCCTCTCTCCTTCCTTATTTGCTCCATAGTTCTTCCTGCTCTGAGTTCCTTCTRCTCCCCAGGCAAGAGGAAAAGGTCCCACAGGAACTGGATGAGAACAGTGTTGGGACTCTTCTATGTCATGGCCTGGCTCAGTGTCCCTCCTGAATTTCACCATTTCCTTATTCTTAAGAAATTAAATTTAAAACGGGCTTCTGTTGTGGGGGAAGGAAGGGACTTTACAGATGAAGTACATTTTATTTTTTTCTCAAGAATCATTTAAATATTTTTGGTCCGAGGCCAAACCAGTCGATGTTTCTGTTGTCTAATTGGTCTGGCTGACCCTGTGTTTAGGGTGAGGGAGATGGAGTGCCTGTCATTTAAAAACCTTGTCCCTTGGATGGTGGCTTTGCAAGCCGACTGCGCAGGCTGACTTTTGCACAAGGTGGTGACTTTGTTTTCCCAAGGTGGTGGCTTGCCCTCTGTCCGGCCTTTGCAGGCGCTGCTTAATGCCTTGGTGCCCGTGCCCAGAGGGGAGGCAGCAAGGTCAGGGCCGTCCGCCACAGAAGGGAAACCTGAGCGGGTGCACGGGGTGGCAAGAGGCGCAGGGGAAGGAGGCAGCTTTGTACCGGGCTCCGGCCCTCGGTTCCCTACCCTGAACCCTTTGGAATGGCATGGAGGCCCTTTCATCTTGTCTGAACCTGAGCCTGGAGAAGGTGCGGGATTAGAAAGGCCGGGTTTTTGCGCTGTGAGGCGGCCAGCGGAGCAGTGGGGAGGCCAGGCCGCCTTCCCTGCGGTCCCGTGACAGCTCCATGCCTGTTGTTCCTGGGAATGCTTCACCTTCAGATGAAGTGCTGCAGGGGAGGGCTGGAGAGCAGCAGCAGCGCGTGGCTGCCCGGAGCCCTTGCGCTCTTGCCGTGCTCTGCCTGCCCCATCTCGCCTGCCTCGCCAGCTGCCGGAGCTCCTCCGCCTTCCTCCCCGCTAGCCAGGCTTGGGCGTCCACGCGTGGGCAGCACTGGTGGCCCGTGCGGCCTCCAGGTGGCTTGGGAAGTGTCCCAACAACCAGTGCTTCCCTGGCTGTTCTCTCGAGGTGTATCYGTGTGGGGTGGTTGTGTCTTCTCCCCTCCCCAAGCCACACTGGGCTACGTCCCCGTTCCCCCCGCAATCTCCGTGGCTGCTATGCCTCTGCACTGTGAAGACACTAGTCCGGGCTCAGCCCTGGCCCTCTGGTTGAACACTGGTGGTGAAGAGGGAGGGAGAGGCTTGTCCTGGCTTCACTGACCTCAAAACTTAAGTGAAAAAGGAAGGAAGTGCCCAGGAGACTGGATCCTGAATCCCTCCATCATTGTGTTCCCCCAAATCCCTCTTAATTTGGGATCCAAGAGGGAGCTGGAGGTAAGAGGGTGGCAGGGGGGACTCGGATCCAGTGCGGAGAAAGAAGAGGTGTTTCTACCGCGATATACTGACAATTACGGCTTTGGAGAATGCACGTAATGGCTTAAGAAGGGATCTGAAATACTCTGAAGCTAAAAATCTCAACCACTGTTTTYGGTTTGTTTGTTTTTCCTTCCTGTGAGGGTGATGATGCAGTATCATCCTTGGGGGTGGTCTGGCAGCACTTCCTAGACTAGGTCCACCTGGTCCCACTAATTGTGTTGCTCCTGGGGTGGCCCCAGAACACCCTGCTTTGGCAAACGAGTGTGTGAACTTGCCAAAAAAATAAATAAAATAAATAAAAATAAAAAGAAGGCAGCTTCAAAGCTCCCTTTAACTCTGTAATTTATAAACAGCAAGTAATAATAATTTTTTTGTAAGGATAAATCAAATGTACATTCTGAAATCATTTTCTCTGTAAATGGTTGGATTTCATTTCACCCTTAAAGGGATGCTTAAAAGAAGGAGAATAATAATAATAAAAATAAAAAATGAAAAAAAAAACAAAGGATGAAAGGAAAACAGTGTGTGTGTGTGATGAGTTTTATTTCTAGTCATCTGTCGAAAGAACCACTGGCAAAAGGAGCGAGGGAAGTCGCTGCTTCCTGCTGGTTTGGGGCTTCAGTGCCT